CGGGCTCATCGCCAGCTTCCTCCGAGATCGCTCCACCACACTCACCTTCGACGACCACGTCTCCCCGGCACGCCCCGTCCCCAACGGCCTCCCCCAGGGATCTCCGCTGAGTGCCCTACTCTTCCTCCTGTTCGCGAATGAGCTCCTCGAGGACGTCGACAACGCGGGTTTCATCGACGACATCAGCCGCATCGCCGTGTCCGACACCCTCGAGGAGAACGTGGAAAAGCTGGAGGCGCACATGGAGCAGGTCGCCTGCCCCACGTCGGAGCGGCTGGGCTTGCGATTCGACCTGCCCAAGTTCCAGCTGGTCCACTTCGTCTCCCCGTGGCGCCACACATCCCACTACCGGCCCATCCCTGTCACCTTCGCAGGGATCACTATCCCCGCGTCCGTCACGGCGAAGCTCCTGGGTGTCGTCTTGGACCACAAGCTCTCCTTCCGCCAGCACGTCGAGCTCGCACAGGGCCGGGGGACAAAGGTGATGCTCGCACTCTCCCGGATCTCCACTCCCACCTTCGGCCTTCCCCACTCGTACGTCCGCCAACTCTTCCAGACGGTGGTCGTCCCCCGCATGGAGTACGGGCTCCCGGTATGGTTCCGGCCGGTCTCAGCGAGCACGGACAAGCGGCGCACGGGGACAGTGTGGGTCGCCAAGGCTCTAGACAAGGTGCAGCGGCTCGCATGCAAAGTCATCACAGGTGCGCTCCGGACCACGGCCTCGGACTCCCTCGACCTCCATGCCAACCTCCTTCCTATTCACATCCGCCTTAACCGCTCCGTCTTCAATGCCGTCGCCCGCCTCGCCACTCTTCCCCCGTCGCACCCGCTCCAGCGCGTCTTCGCGCGCTGCCGCCGCGTGCCCCGCTTCCATCGCTCCCCGGTCCACCATGCCATTGCCCAATTCCCCGTGCTGCGCAGCGTCTTTGAGACGATCGACCCCCACCTGGACGTCCCCGCTGCGCCGCCGGGCTCACTGACAACGAGGATCGCAGGCAGCAAGGACGCAGCGAGAGCGGAGCTCGAGGAGATTACACGGCGCGGGGGCTTCTGTGTGTATACGGACGGGTCCGGGTTTGAGAAGGGAGTGGGCGCGGCGGCGATTGCATGGAACGGTGAGGCGGAGGGCGCAGTGAGGATGAAACATCTCGGCGCCGAGACCGAGCACACGGTCTTCGAGTCGGAGGTTGTGGGCGCGATTCTCGCCCTCGACATCGTCAAGAGCACCCCACGGCTCACCAGTGTCGACATCTTCACCGACTGCCAGCCCGCCATCATTGCCCTCGCAGACCCCAAAGCCCAGCCCGGGCAGTACCTCCTTGCCGCTGATAAGCCGGCTACATGAACACGCATGAAATCTTCCAATTTTATTGCTGTTTACACTATGTTATGAGCGCTATACATCCGGACATGGGCTAGTGTGAGACCCGAACAGCTAGCTAGGGAGCTACGCATGTGCTGGTGCAAAAAGGCTTTATTTGGATGATAATGTTCTTATGGTTGGATTCCAAGAAAGCACTTTGAAGCATTAGCTAATGATCTACCCAACCATTCTGTGATTGAATTGGGGTTTATCAGCATGCCTCCTAATTAAGGGTAGACCCACCATCCATCTAGACTATTGGGCGACCCATATATGCACTGGTTGCAAGTCGAATTGGGTCAATAGAGCCGTTCTAGCCTTTACAGGCACATATTATCTATTTGTGACGATATCTGTCAAAATAGTTATGTCACACTCCTTCGGGCCGTTCGGAATATGTCGGAATTGCCCGGAAATCAGCATTTAATCAGCAGGATCAGATGTCGGCCAAAACGGGCTGACATCCGGGATAATCGATGGGATCGCGGATAGGCATCCGGAGTGATGGGAGCCTCGGATAGGCTTCCGATGGTGTGCTCAGAATAGCTAGGCGCCAAGGATAGCAGCAGCCAATGAGCATCGAACACGAGTTAATCATCTTGGCAACAGTCAGCTGCGGATGAATCATCATCTTGGTGATTCATGAATCAGCCAAATAAATACCCAAAACTATTATCTATTGATGTGACTTCCCTAATTAAGCCAAACTAACGTTCAACAGGTTCAGTTTGATACCCAAATCATGCCCGGCCAGTCGGCCATGCCTTTTCTGTCTAGTTACCTGTGTAAATGTATCTATTTCCTTTTTAGTCATTACCCAAATGTATAAAAGCCCAGTGTATGTAGAGAGTAGTGCACTGGACCCCGCCCCCTTCAACGAGGTAGTGTCACACTGTCACCAGTGTGCATTAGCTAATTGTTGGAGTGTCGTCTTAGTCTGTTGGGAATAATAATTATTGTTGATTGCTTAAATTGTGTGTTGGTTTTGGTTTGCATTTGGCCTTCTAAGGCTGGAGGGACTAGAGTGAACTACAGTTTGAGTTGCTTGACCTTGCTACTGGACTCTAGTACGCTTGGTTCCACTCTGATCACCATACTATAGTATTAGCTATTAGCTTTTGCTGGAATATATCTGTTTTGATTTGCCATTTGACATATTTGGGTTAGGTTTTGGACATCTGGAAAGGCATTTGGAACATTTGGACATCTGGAAGTCGCTTCGGCGCAACACACTATAGCTTGGAGCTAGAGATTAAGGCAGTTCTGGCCGTTAGCGGCATTAAAAGAATATCAACTGATCACATTGATCACACTTGTTTTAAAAACCACACAAAAACTTCCCATTGATCACTAGAGACTCAGTTGAGCACTAGGAGGCCATTGAACGAGTTGGGATAACATTATCTAAAAACAATAAAGCTTGATAGAGTTCACAATTCTGGTGTAATAAATTCAGATTGCCACAACGTTTCCTGCGTTGGAATCCCCAAACTTGCACGGTTGTTCTGTTGAACTACAAAGGAGTGTTTGGTGTTTGGTGTTTGTGTTAGTGGGTTGTGGTTTCATAGCTGCCCCCTAGTCGCTCATGCACCATTAGCTAAAAGCACGCCGGTTCACGGAGCGGTCGGATCACCGCGTTCCATACCCTCCTCCGCCGCCTCCTCCGTGCCCGCCCCACCCTCCGTGTGCGCCTCCACTGGGTCCCGGCTCACGTCGGCATCCCTGGGAACGAGGCTGTCGACGCGCGCGCGAAGGAGGCTGCCCTCGGCGCCTCCTCCGCCCTCTCTGTGCGCGTCATTGCCCTCGAGTCCCCCCTCCCAACGAGCAAGGCGGCAGGGCTCCAAGCGGCAACAAAGTGCTTCCACGCACGGTGGCTCGAGGAGTGGCGTGCCTCCCCGCGCTCTCGCCGCCTCGCGCTATTCGACAGCTCCAAACCGTCGAACGCTGTGGCGAGGATGTACTCCGACCTGAGCCGCGCGCAGTGCAGCGTCCTGACGCAGCTGCGTACAGCGCACATCGGCCTCAACTCCTACCTCTTTCGCTTCCACCTCGCCCCTTCCCCCGACTGCCCACTCTGCTTCGTCCCTGAGACGGTTACCCACTTCCTCCTTGCATGCACCGCATACCGCCAGCAGCGGCTCCGACTAGTCGTCGAGCTGGGCACTGCACGCCTCTCCCTTCGCCGGCTGCTGTCCGCGAAGTCAGACCACAAGCCCGTTCTCACGTTCGTGCGTGACACAGGTCGCCTCCCGCGCTACGCGCTGTAGTGTGTGCACTGTACTCCTTTCTCTTTTTTTCCTCGTTCTCTCATCTCTTATCTCTTACTTTACTGCATTGACATCCTGCCAAGTCTACTACCAACTCGCCCCGTCATCATAGCCACATCGTTGTGTTACCACACCTGTACCTCTCCCGCCCAGGCCCCCCTACATGCCAGCTAGATTACATCCATGTCCCACGTATAGTGCTACATGGGCCGCCCGCGCGCACTCTAATTGAATTTGAATTGAATTGAATTCTCCCCAATTTTCCAGATTCCTTCTTATCATTGCCCCATCTATCTTTTCCATTTTCTATTGGACTTTTGCTACCTTGGATTTTTTCCATGATGGGGATTTCAGTTGCACAGCCTTTTTCTTTCTTAGCACTGCTAGCCCACAGCTATAGGATGTGAGGGCTGCACATCTTCGTTTGCGTGATGGGCTGGCAGTGGCTGTGCCTGAGTCACTCCCACACTCAAGCACTTTCATGTTTACCTCCACTGCTGCATCTGCGCTGCTGTCCGCTTGCCTCATGTGGTACCAACAATGTAACGGTCTTCGAACCCTTCCAAGGAATGTAATGCAAAATGTTAGTGGGAATGATTTTATATTCTTTTTAGCCATTGTAGGCTTTTGTATACTTCAGGAGGTGCCCCCTGAAACCCCAGCAGCATCTCGGGATTGTGGCACCACCCCCCACGCCGCCACTAGGAGATTCTCGTGTTGAATTTGTAAAAGAATGGTAGAACTGGGGATTGAACCCAGGGCCTCAGATTTATGTTCTGATGCTCTAACCAACTGAGCTATTCTGCCATTGTGTTTAGGATCCAATATCCCGTCACTCCCCCGGGATCTGAACACACTAAATGTGTGCCTGGCCTGCTGGCATGATGGACCTCTCCGGAGGCCAGATAAGAATGCTAGAGGTCATTCTCCATCTTTGTATGCAACGGGGCCCATAACCTGTTGCAGCACAAAGGATGGTTAGACTGGAAATTGAACCCAGGACCTTCTTATACCATGTGAGATACTCTAACCCAAAGGTTAATAACTGAGCTATTGTAAGGGACACGCACACCAGTCATAGTGCACTCGCCTACTCGTGCCCTTACTAATTACGGATTACTCATATTTACTCATTATTGATTACTCATGGACTATATAGTTGTTTGGCCGTGGTACGGTGGGATCAACTAACACTTGACCCACTACTACCACATCCCTTTTCTACAATCTAGAACTTGGGTCGGTTTAGTTGTGGTGTTTAAGTTCTAAGTTAAACCCCTACACTCCTAACAGCTATCCAGCCAAACGGTGTGAAGGGAACTCCCAGAAGGACCTTCAACAATGTTGGGATATTGGATCTTGAACACAACGGCAGAATAGCTCAGTTGGTTAGAGCATCAGAACATAAATCTGAGGTCCTGGGTTCAATTCCCAGTCCAACCATCTTTTGTGTTGCAACAAAATCACCTCGCCGGTGTATGCTTGACAAGCAAACTTGTACGCGGTGTCCTGTTTCCTGACAATGTCTGAGCCTACCACAATAACTATTCTAATGTGTGATTCATGTGCAGAGCCTTGCTCAAGACCCACTGATGCATATCCACAATAGGGGTTGTACATCCCAATAGCCTCTAATAAAGCTAATTAAAAGTCCTACTTAGCAAAGCCATATGAACATAGGTTAATCCTCCAAAAGGTGTTCAGATACTCCTCCAGGACATGCTTCTCCTGGGGAGGAGCCACTGCAGCAACAATATGCAAGATATTCTGACGTGCGGCTTCTTCATTGTGGGTAAGCCTCTCAAGCAGCTTTCTGTCACCCTTGGTGAGTGAAGCAATTGTCTGCAGCCGCTCCTGATACATCTTGACCTTTGATCGAGCAAGGGCACTGGGCTCCAGTATTGGAAGAAGAAGCACCATAGAGCCAAACTGGAAAAGGACTGTTAACATAGAAGAAACTTCACTGCAAATGCTTACAAGACCATAAAGTGCTGACAAAAAGCGGAGTTTGCTGGTTTCATCCTCCCTTCAGCCAGTCAAAAGCTTCCAGGCTGTCGAAGATTGAATTGCACTGTGTTGCTCCACAGTTAAGTTCCCATAGGCCGTGACACCAAGCTGGACTAGTTCTTTCTCATCTAGGAGAAACAGCTGCATATTGAACCTGTTCTTTTCCTGGTAGATGTTGCTTTCAAACGCAAGTGAATGTTGGATTCTTTCAATTGTCAATACAATATGTTCAACAACACACCAGCCATTGGTGGCCTCAGTGAAGTAGTTGGAATGCAGGCAGGCGGTGTCACACTCATTGGTTGGCAGTGCTATTCCCCTGAGCAAAGTTTCTATAGCCTCTTCGAACCTAGTATCCCAGTTCAATTTTCCAGCGGTGTGCATAATAAGGCCCATTGCATCATGGATATTAAAAGGCACTTTGTTCTCGTTGGCAAGCATCGTGCTAGAGGTGCTCAATGGCTGTGATGCCATGGTGCATCAGTGTTTGGGTGGAACTACGTGGTGAAGAGTGAAGTTGTTAGATGGGTGGATGGTTAACTTAAATCACTGCAGTGATCTCCAAAAAATTCCTCCAGAAAATAGGCACAGAACTAGGTTGTTCACTTTCCCTGCCAACTTTTACAGGAAGAAAAGCTATAATAAAATGCTGGCTTTTTCACCTGAGTTTGTCTTGATGAAAAGGTGCTGTTATACCTGGGGAAAACATGCAGAAAAAGGCTGGCTTTCTTTGTTACTTTTTCAGCAGGAAACCAATGTGATTTTCCCATGGGAAAAACAATGCCTTTTGTTTCCCTGAGTAAATGATGGCCTCTTTGTCTAGGGCTTTGTGTAGGTAAAAGTCCAACTTTTCCCTCACAATCTCCACCTGTAAAAGACCATCTTTTACTTTGAGAGATTGCTGGAAAGATGTCATTCTATATGAAAATGAACTTTCCCAGCAATCTCTTGAAGTAAAAGATGGTCTTTTACAGGTGGAGATTGTGAGGGAAAAGTTGGACTTTTACCTACACAAAGCCCTAGACAAAGAGGCCATCATTTACTCAGGGAAACAAAAGGCATTGTTTTTCCCATGGGAAAATCACATTGGTTTCCTGCTGAAAAAGTAACAAAGAAAGCCAGCCTTTTTCTGCATGTTTTCCCCAGGTATAACAGCACCTTTTCATCAAGACAAACTCAGGTGAAAAAGCCAGCATTTTATTATAGCTTTTCTTCCTGTAAAAGTTGGCAGGGAAAGTGAACAACCTAGTTCTGTGCCTATTTTCTGGAGGAATTTTTTGGAGATCACTGCAGTGAGTCCCTTGGGTATAGTCATGGTCTCCAAAGTTGTCAAGGCTTTTGTGGGTATTCTCCTGGGTATGGTATCTAGCTTTCGTAGTGTAGTCCAAGTCCTGGGAAGAACTCGTACTTCACTAATAACCGCACAGAGGTCTTAGCAAGCAATATGACAGTTCCCGTTTAGTAGGACCAAGAGCATAAGTACTTGTCTAAACATGATACGGCTTCTCCGGCATGGTCAATACACAATCAGCAGCTCGGAGCTCCGCTCTGACTCTAACTGTATGTCAACGGACAGGGTTCAAGTACCAAGTACTCAGTACTAGTACCGAAGTACTAGCAGTTGTACTGGTTAAGTGATAAATCACAAAAAGCGACCTGACGAGGGGTCGGCAGATAATGTTCCTCCTCGAAAAACGGTCCTCGATCTCAAAGCGGTGTACACGCAGAAGGGCGACATGGACGGCGTGATCGTGCATAACAAGGTCAGGTACTGCTTGTTGGGGAACCATCAGGTCTATGGCCGGGATTACACGCAGACGACATCGCCCACTGCACGCCTGGAATCGTTCTGTGCAGTCCTCCACGTCGGTGCTTCGCGCGGATGGGATATCCAGCAGGTCAATATCAAGACCGCCTTCCTCAACGCAGTCCTTCCTCCGGACGAGGTGCAGTACTCGCGTCAGCCGAAGGGGTTCGAGGAGAAGGGAAAGGAAGGTTGGCTGTGGCGAATCGTGACGTCGTTGTACGGGCTGAAGCAGGCGGGTCGCGCCTGGAACCGCACCATGCACGAGGCTATGCTTGAATGGGGATTCAAGTGTATGCTTTGTGAATGGTGTGTCTATGTGCGGACGGTTGATGGTGTCACCAACGTTGTCGCGGTACACGTCAATGACATGCTATGCGCGGCAAGTACCGGTGCTGCCAACGACCTCTTCAAGTCGCAGCTTCGCACCAAGTGGGCAATAACGGACCTGGGAGACGCCCGGTTCTGCCTCGGCATCGGGATCGTCCGCGACGCTGAGCGACGCACCATTACCTTGTTGCAAACTGCCCTGATTGATCGTCTGATCTCGCAGTTTAATCAAAGCGACACCTACCCCGCCTGTACCCCAATGGATGCCAAGGTCCAGCTATGCCACCCAGAATCCACGGAGAATCTTTCCCTGGAAGACGAGCAGCTCCTGGCGCGCACCCCCTACCGCTCCCTCGTTGGCTCGCTCATGTACATTGCGATCGGCATGCGCCCCGACGTCGATTGCACCGTTAACAAGCTGGCGAGTTTCCTCGACTGCTATGGCACCGCGCACTGGATTCCCGCTATACGTGTCCTACGTTATCTCAAGGGAACTCGGGCACTCGGCCTCACTCTCACAGGGACTGCGCCCATCGTACTCAACGGTTACACCGATGCCGACTACGCCAACTGTCCGGACACACAGAAGTCCGTCATGGGCTATACTTTCTCGCTTGGGTCAGGCGCGATATCCTGGTCTTCGCGGAAGCAGAAAGTTGTAAGCCTGTCTTCGACCGAGCCGGAATATATCGGCACGTCGGAGGGAGCGAAGGAGGCGTGTTGGCTCCGGACTCTCTTGCGTGGTGTCACAGTCCCAGTATCGTCCCCGACTCCTCTACTTTGCGACAATGAGTCCTCGATCTGCCTTGCTAATGACCAGTCCCTACACATTCGTGCAAAACATATAGACGTTTGCTATCATCACATATGCGACTGCGTCGAAAAACAGAAGATCACGCTGCCGCGCGTTCCCACTGGCGACAACGTCGCTGACACCCTCGGGAAGCCCTTCCTGCTCCATCCTTCCTTCGTCATCGTGTCGCCCTGGGTATCGTCTGAGAGGGTGTTCTGGCTTGAGAGGGTGGAATGCAGCACTTCCGACTTGAGGGGGTGTGTTGGACGGTGACTACAAGTGCGGACCTCTATTTACACTGCCACATGACCGCCAGCACATATGCTGGCGGGCACACGACTCGCTTCCTCACTTGCGTACCACAACGCCGAGTGAGGATTGTTACTCACGTAGTTCAGATCTTAACAGAACGGGTCTTCCAGAGGTTTGGAGCGCAACTGTCCTGACGGTCTCAGATAATTTCTCTAGAACCGCAGTGATTTTCTTGTCTCCTCGCCTCATCAACATCCCTTTTTGCCGCAAGCTCGCTCGCTAAGGCTTCCAACTTCTCAGTACTTTTCAGCTTCTCCTTAGAGTAGCTCATATCCCTGGTTGAATCACTTCCTACAGCCCTGGTAGAAACGAAGTCTATTTCAACTTCATTACTAACCCAAGCCTTAGAAATTGCTTCTGCCAGTTCTATAACTGAGACCGAGTCTTCTCTCCGTACTATAGCCTCTGCAGCGGCAATCTTTGGTACTATAGGTGCTCCTGCCGGGACTGGGCCCAACGGTGTGACAACTACAGGTGGAACCACTGGTGCAACGGCTGGTACAACAGATCCTACTGGAAATATTCCAGAATCCTTAAACAACACGGAGAAATTTATCATCCCTCTGATTTCTGTCTTAAAGTCGGAATCAAATGCTAGGAGATAATATGTCACTAGTTCTTTGTTGGAGACTAAGGCTGGAGCCTTGAGTAGTTTATTTGCTTCATTCAAGAACACAGCTCCATATCTTTTAACACGCCCTTGTTCGGAGCGGTCTCAGGGTTTGAAGTTTCTGCAGATCTTTCGCAACTTCCCTAGGGATCCAACACTAAAGTCCTCAATCTCTGGATAAAGTGCTTCCACATCTTTAATCCATTGATTCAAAGTCCCAGTTTTATACGACGCAATGTTTTCCAACTGCTCTCGAATGTCATCATCGTTCAAGTAAGCCTGCCCACAACGTGCCAGACCCCCTTGGGACCACGCTCTTACAAACCCCCTAGAGGACGAACAGGCCACCGACCGAAACCCACACCCATTCCCTCGGTAGCGCCGCAGTCCGCATCACTGCGGATTGTGGTGGTATTTGTCATGTGTCGCCCTCGTTTGTGGTGGGGCCAGCGTCGGTCGTGGTTTGTCGAGGCTCGGTCGAGAGCGTACAGTCTTGAGCGCGGGATGTGAAAACCGTGGTTTTTGTAGAGAGCGAGATAGGGGCTGGTGGTTGGTTTCGTGGTTGTTGTGGCCTTCGTGGCGGCCGT